AAAAAAAAAAAAAAAAAAGAAAGAAAAATTGATCGCCCAAACGCATCAGACTATTTTTGGGCGTCTAGAAAAGACAAATTTCCTCTAAGATGGTGTTATCTCGATCAGACCCACTTTCGCCCCCCCGCCTTTTCTCCCCTTTTTTCGGCCCCGGCCCTCCCCCTTTCGGACATCTTTGGATTTGCCCCTGAATTGGCCTGCATGCCATCAACTAAAGAACATATGCTATTTATTTTTAACATTGTTCTGTGTATATCATTTGAATTTCTTGAATTTCAAACGAATGACCTCTGATTTTCGTATAATTTTTGTACAGTAGTATTTCAAATGAATGTACCCACTGTTGTCTTCTAATCGGATTAAAATCTGACCGAATTTTGGCCGATATCGAAAAAAAGTTTGGCCGAATTTGGCCGTGAGATGGCGTGTGTTTGGCCGTGAAGCCTGTCGACTATCTGGCAACCCTGTTACGCGTGCATTAAACATAGGGATCTTTGCGCGCATTTGTGCCGACATACAGTGAAAATATGCTAAAATCAGGCCTGTTTTTAATCAGTTATATCTCCTTAGGATGATAGGTGACCCCCAATTTTTATTACATAATCTGAAAGCACATGAGTTGTAGATATGATTTTAGAGATCATAATGGCTGATTGGAAATTGTGATGTCATCATTTTGCCATTTGAATTTTTTTATAAATGAATTTTTATTATGACGTCATTATTTTTATACTTCTTGAACATATCCCACTTTTTCTTGATCGATCGTCTCCCACCTTCATGCATGTTATGGCTGAGACAATTTCCTTTCACAATGTTTTAATCATTTTTCATTTTTATAATGTCATCATGGTGAAAACGAATGTTTTTCTAACCTCCTACTTTTTTCTTTCTTTAAATCTTTGACGACCCGATAGAGGGCGCAGACTTGATATTTTCCTACTGTTGTGGATCGGATATTCTATCCTTTAATTATTTTATTGTTTCTTGTATGCATTGGTGGCGTGCTTGCGCTGTATGGTGGTGTATTCGCGTTTGATTGTTTACAGGTTAAGTTTCGCGATTTGCATATTTCTACAGGTGTACTACCTCGTTTATACACCTGCATATGTGCATAAACAGGCAGAAGAATTTTGATTTCAAAAAGAAAGGTTGTGTTGTTTTGTACCACTTACTTTGCAAGTCAGTGTTTGCTTCAGAATTGTAAGTAGAACTGTGTTCTTAAATTACAATATTAAACATTGCATTTATCTGATGTAACGTTCTAATATATTGAATACTGTGCAGGTAGGATACCGTGTATGTTTAAATAATATGCCAGGGTAGATACTGTGTGTGTCATTATGCATGAATTTAATTATAGTGATAAATACACTTAAATAACATAGGCCTATTTGTATTTATCAGTAATGATCCGTGTATTTTATTTTAGACTCATAATGATGAGGATCGTCGCAGGATGTTTCAACAATTAAGTTGAATCCTTCCTCTTCAAATAGTTCAACTTCTTTCTAACATCCTCCAGCGCCGGTGACAAGCCAGTTTTGTTTGCTTTAATAGGCACTTTAAAAATGTCTATTATTATTATTATTATTATTATTATAACCATTATATGAGATTTGTGTAGTGATTGATCCAGGTATTGCTTGTTCATAATCATTAATGCTATGACGTTAATCATTGAACTTAGTGTATTGTTAATGATTGTTGTAATTGCATATTTATAATTATTATTTGCTATTTATCCATAATTTGTATATGAAATGAAATTAATTCGTAATAGACACAGTTTGAGCTGTTCAATGGTCACTGTTGTGCCGGTGTAGTTTCACTGGGTTGTTTACTTATTGGCGTTTATAATGTGAAGTGTTTTGCCAATATACGTTCTTATGCTTAACTTAAACTTGCAGTGCAGTTTCATTTAATTGTTCACCGATTGACGTTTACTAAAGTTGTTTTGTCAATACACTGTGCAATTATACTATGCAATTCAATATTGATGTTCATGGTCGTGCGATACATAATATTTTTGTATATATATTTATATATCTTTGCAGGGCTGTTTCCTTTGCTGTTTTTGAATTTTTCGTTACTGTTTTCCTTTGCGATTATTCCGTTCTTTAATAAAGTTTGAAAAGGCAAGTAATTAAGTAGTCGTGCTTCATCATTTTGTTTATACCAATTTGGGGTTAAAGACTTGTACTCGGAGTGCTGGGGGACTAATCGATCCAAATCTATCCCGGTGCAATCCCCGAACCATAACACTACACAGTTTGAAAATTTTGGTTACAGTATTTTTCCATATTTTACTTTTAAGCACTGTGAGATTTCTTTTGCCTCACAAGCAGATCACCTAACTCGTACCAGTGACGAGTTCAAATCTAGTTTTAATTTTTTTTCTTTGTATTACTTGATTGTATTATTGTATTATGGACGCACCACCGTACAGGTGTGTGCCACTGTTCTGAAAGTGACTTCTAATAAAATACTAAATGCTATACACCCAAGGTGGCAAAGGGCCAAGTCGATATGGTCCGAGTTGGCACAGAGCCAAGTCAGTGTGGTGCGAGTTGGCAAAGGGCCAAGTCGGTTTGGTGTGAGTTGAGGAAGGGCCAAGTCAGTGTGGTGCTAGTTGGCAAAGGCCCAAGTCGGTTTGGTGTGAGTCGAGGAAGGGCCAAGTCAGTGTGGTGCGAGTTGGCAAAGGGCCAAGTCGGTTTGGTGTGAGTTGAGGAAGGGCCAAGTTGAATCCAGTTTGATAATTTATTCAGTGTATTTTCTTCCTTACAGAATGTAGTTATTTAATTGGTTTTCCAGGATGTTTCAACCAGGGTAAGTTTTAATAGATTCTTTTATAAGCTTTAATACAAAATGCCAAATTGTTTTTCTGTATACAGTAAACAATATAATCAGCCAGTCCATTCTGTTTCTAACTTATCAGATTTCTTTATGCAATTTAATTTGTTTCACCGTATAAATTATTGAGATAACAGCTAAGGTTTAAAAATAAAATGATTTGCCAATTGTTATTGTTTTCTTGGTGTATAACATCTGTAAACTTAAAAAAAAATTAGAACACATTTTATAAGAATACTAAGGCTAAAATAGCTTCACAAAAATAAGAACAAATTGAGGCCAAGGTAAAGTGTTACATGAGGTTAAATAAAAACCAACAAATCAACCTAGTCACATACATGATACAGTAAATTAATAATATTTATCAACATTATATCTGCTTCATTAATGCAGTAGGTTGTCACTATTTAGTACTTGTATAATGCAGTACTGCTGTACAATAATACTTTTCGCTGTAGTATCTATAAGAACAACATGAGAACATTTTAAGCTGGAAATTGGCAAAACAATTTGAACACTGAGCCTGGGAAAACTTTTACTGGTTCTTATAAAACAAAATAGTGTATTATGGAGCTGACCATACTAATGTATATTCATTAAAGTAATGTCATATCAAGTGGGATATCATATGAAATTGATATTGTATATTATAAATGTTATTTCTATAATACTGTATAGACCATTTTATCGGGATTATTTTGAAACAGCACCGCCAACTTCTCACAACTCACTGGGGAACTTCCAGAGGCCTATGCCTGAGCAGCTGGCTAGTTACAAAAAGCACTGCGCAGCGGATTATGCAGCTGAACCTTTGCTATAGCAGCAGTAGACAACATGTACGATCATGCTAATTGCCATATACGTAAACATTGAAATAGCTTTTTAAGACTTGGACTTAAATATAAACAGTTTGTTCTTTTTTCATTTTAAAATATCTGTGCTCATCAATAATTGCTGCGAAGCAGCCAATTCATATTCTTGACAGCAATTTGACCTCTGAAAGGTCATTGTTTGTCGCCTGAGACAACTGAAAAGCGGAGTTTCCTTCTTTCGTTCTGCCGGGTAAAATCAATTACTTTTAGGCGACCTTTGTAGACTAACCTACTCGTACCAACGTCGGCATGTCTCGACGCTGGAGTACTATTCAGCGTTTTTACTATATTTCTACGTTTAATCGGCTCATGTCTCAGCCACAATATTTTGAGGACAATATTATTTACGAACCCAGTTAAACTTATTTACTAGCCTATTTCAACGTGCTAATTATTACATTTAGGCGACGCTTGTTGTAGACTGGCATAGTGTTTGCGGAAATAAATACCATTTTATACACATGCGCTAATCGATTCGCAAGCAGCGAGTCATCGCCAGCAGCAGCGAGCCATCGCCAGCAGAGAGATGTCACTGCAGCAAAACACTATTGTACCAACGCTGTTCTAATAATATATAGACAATGGGTCGTGCTCACTCATATTATTTGTTATATTTTTATTATTCATTATTTTCACTTGACTCGCATAAATAATTTTGTTCGAAGAACATTTTATGCAGTTGTACTTCGCAGCACTTCACTTGCAATTTGCAATTTCTAGTTTAGTTTTATTGTTCAATTATTCCATGATGGTAACTACGTAGAGTGAAATGCTAGGCCTCTGGAAGTTCTGAAGTGGTGGTTTTCAGGTTATTGGAAATTTTCATTTCAAATTTGTATATAGACTAAAGATCTGAAACTTGCGTATTATGAAATTACCAGCAAAAAATTTTTGGGAGTCTGGATAAAAAGTGATAAAGGTGGGAGTAGTGAATTTAATTTATTTTCTATGATGTGGTCTTGTTTTTTATGATGAGGTAAATATTACAACGCAATGCAAAAAGATGTGTCTAACATTCCTGGTGTGTCGTTTAACAAAGACTTTTTTTTAATGCTAATTACTAAGTTTAACATTTAGTTGCAGTATGCTGGCTTTGCGATTGCAAGCCTCATTTAATTTGCATAAAATGTTGTGTTTGTCTCGTAGATTTGTTACAAGCTTTTTACCATTATTTCTTGTGTTTTATTTCAGGATTTTAGGTGCATATAATCCGCAGATACAATACAGACCATTGGTTGGTTTTAATCAAAACCAATACCCAAATCAATTCCAAAATCGAGTGCCATTTGGATCAACTCCCAGGTTTCAGCAACATCCGTATCAGCAAACCACTCATACTAACACCGTCCATGGAGACAGTAACCGTCTACAATCGCTTTCCGAGTGGCCTTCTTTAAGCGAGGCAACACACAGAAGCTCTCCGGTACAAAACAAAACACCTCAAGGCGGTCGAGACATCAGAAGTCCAGAGTTTTTCTCACACAAATTAACTGAAGAACAAAATGAAGAAAAGAAACAACTTTACAAGTAATAATAATTAATTATCCATTTTATTACAAAATGGATAATAATTAATTATCCATTCTATTACAATACATACACTGTGACTTTAAGAGGCTTATGGTGCATAAAAAGTGGTTAAATCTAAGGGTTGTTTTGAGTTGAGGGTTAATGATATATATATAATTCTTGCATGATAGAAATCTGATGTATTTTTTTCTGGGTAAAATATTCATCTAGTAACCACAAACCATTTGTCATTGATGTTGGTGGGTTTTTATTAACCTTTTCTTGTCGTTTAACAGTTTTATTGATCCCAAAAGTATATCATTTTACTGAGTCACCGTTCTTAAAAAGCAGCCTGACCTTAAGAGGTTTTCAGAAAAAATAGTGTGTGTGTATAAAATATACTTTTTAATTGGACTCTGAATGGATTGATTAAAATAACCAAATTAAGTCTGTTTATTGTATATCCAATGTTTGGACTGTACTGTGTTTATTGTATTGGCCTCGTTTGTGTAATTCTTGAGTACATACTTGGACAACTTTGTCCTATATTATAAGGCAATACTCTGTATGATAGAAACATCTAATTTGAATGCCTTGAAGGACAGTATATGCTCTCATATTTTAGGTATTATTAAAATTGTTGACCTTTTGTTGTTGTGGGCAAAAGATGATCTAAACCCTATGCAGGAAAAGGATGTCATGTGACCAGATCACAAAATTTTTATCAGAATTTTTGCAGACAGATTGAGTTGTACTGTATTCTTACTAGAAGTTTCCGATGGTAACTATACAGCTCTTAGTGGTTGTTCATGATAGGCTGTTGTACCATGTTGATTTTAGGCAGTGTTATTGTATTGATTAATTTCAGAAGTGTGTGAGTCTTGCAACAAGCAACCTTTATAGTTACTGTACGTAGAGAAAGTAGTTTAACTGAGACGACAAACTGGTGGAAGCAGGGGCCATGAGGGCCAGCCTCTCCTCCTCCCTTCGTCAGTCGCGTCAAAAGATAAAACGGAGACAAAAATTGTAAGGAAAAAAGGGAGGAATGAGAGTGAAAAAGGTTCTGTGGCGGATCCAGTTGTGCAAAAGGTCGCTCGATTATTTTTACCACTAATTTTGAATTTTCTATTGATTGACAACAAACACAATGCAGGATGTCAAAAAAAAAGTCCAAATAAAACCAATTATGTATCTTCAGTACTGTACACTGAGGTAATCGCTTTTTTTTGTGCTGAACTTTAAAGGTCTTTATGCAACTTTGGTCCCCGGTTCAATTCCAGTTTCTGATCTTCCTGTGTCCATGACGTACAGCCTTTCGGGTGACCCATATACACTGTACACAGTTCAAAAGTAGGGGATTGTCTCCCAGTGTCCATTTCACCACCAGAAGAACCCAACTTTAATATAAATAAGTCTTCGGATTTTCATAGGTTGTCCTTGGTGTAAATTATGCTGAATACAGTCCAGTTTGAACAAAATGTTAAAATGCTTGTAGTCTTAATTTTTTATTTCTAAGAAAAAAAATGAAATGACATAAATTCCTAGAATAGAATAATTAGATGGAAATAGAATGGCAATATTCTAATTTTTACTTTGTTTCTTTTGTTTTTTTTCAAGATTGTTTTATCAAGTATTGAGAGATAATGGTCCAATGGATGTTTGTAATCAGCGAATCTTAAGTACCTTCATGTCGTTACCTGAATCTAAGAGGAGGATCATCACGAAAATTGGGGGTATTCAGCGGTTTTTTCTGAAGTCACCCATGTTTGTTATCCAGGGTGAGACAGTGTGCTTGGCAGAGGTATATACTCTTATTTTATGTTAAAAATCAAGTAATATAAATTTGGATGAAGGTATGCACTGCACTGTAGTATCTCTTTTTTTTTTAACAAAGGGAATTACTATTTAATAAGGCATTGAGTACCCCTTTATTGAATGTTGGAATTCCATATTATTTTTGAATTTAAATTTCTTTTTAGCCTCTTTCACGTCAAACTTTTAGCTAGATATATATCCACTTATCTAGATATAAGTTCGACATGAACCCGTCAACTATGTCTAGATAAAAGCTTAAGTTGCCTATCGTTAGGCGACTTAATACTAGATGAATGGTAAATTACCGTGCTTAACGGTAAAGTCAACTCGGATTACAAGGACACGATTACGTAATCTGGCTGGCAACAACGTATTCCAACAATGTTAACAACATCAGCAAAGTAGTCTCATTCAAACACCAATCTGGGTACATGTTTCGGGAATAGAAATTTCAAATTTGGAATAAGTAATTAGAATGTTTTGATTACGGTTAATTGTTGACAGATTTTTCCAGAGACAGAAAAAAGATCACAGACAAATATATTTCTCAACAAATACTGTATATAGATGTATATAGACTATAAGGATTGACGTCAGTTGTTAACATAATTCCAGAGTGATTTGTCCAAATATGGGCATGATAATGTCATATCACACCCAAATTTATTGACAAAATCTTTAACAGAAAACTTATGTTAACTTCACATTCACCTGAAGAAGTGCACTGTGTGCACGAAAGCTTGTGTACTGTCACAAATAACTAGTCATAAAAGTACTGGATATCCTGAATTTTATTTTTTTTGATAAGTGAGGACAGACCCTTATATAGCTTCATATAGTGTCTTGTAGCTTGTTATTTTTTGTGGAAATAAAGTCTCTGTATTTGTATTTATTTTTTCCATTCATTTTAATCAATAGCAAACATTTAACTGCAACTCTCCACCGAATCCATCTGAGGCTGAAAATATTTGTCCGAGGAATGGCCCATACCGATGTCCAGTGGAACCAAGACAAGATTCTACTCGTGTCGCAAGTACCCTTCCCATTCACACTGAGCCAGATGTCGATCCTCACTCTCAAAATATGAGCCAGATGCAGACACCCACCAAATCTGACCTTGATGTACAAGCCCAGCCTTTTTCACCAAAAACTCCAGTAGGTCTTCCTTTCTTATTTGTATCATCATAGGGAACTTGGACTTGATGTGTGAGTGTGTATTTACATGTTACACAGCTTGTAAGCAAGAAGAAACTTCTGGTTCGAATTTTTTGAGTTCTTTTTCTTTTAATTAATTGTTTTATTTTATTCCTTTAGGCACATTGCCAAGGATACCAATAGCAACTTAATCACTGTCCTAGGAGCAATCCTTCCACACACAAATGACAAACATAATACACATGACACTCTACATAAAATAAGTCTCATAAACAAAGATTTGCTATCATTCATTGCGTGTAATAAATAGACCATTGGGTGTCAGCATACACATCACAAGCCAGATTAGAGGTAAAAAAAGGGTCTGATTTGTAGTTGCTGTGGCTATGTGTGCTCATGTAATAAAATATACACTATCTCTATTTCTGCAGAGAGTATAGAATCTTCCTACTTTATCTAAAAAATATTTTAATCACCTTTATTAGTACAGAAGATGAAGTACAATAAATGATAATAAAAAATAAACATAAAAAAACAACATTGACATTCGAATGTATTTCCTTCTGTAATATTTTTGTCTGTTTATGATATAAATTAAATATTTGACTCGATTAAAACTAAATTATCGGTTTCTTCAGGACTTTGTTCCTCTTTGCCAAAAAATTGTTATTATAGTTTCTGCAGCCATATTGGTCAAGATTATTAATAACCATCGCTAAATCGGACAGATCGTTGGCTTTTTTTAAACATTTCTGCAAAATAGTTTGGTACAGAATTCATAAATTTTCAATTTTTACTTCCTTCAAAGAAGTAACTTTAAACTGGGGTGCACAAAAGTGCATTGGACACGATTGGTGGCCAAACTCAGTATGGCTTAGAAATACAAACAATTCGGCAGCCGAAATGATCAAACACCTATTTTTATTACATATTTTTTACTCAATAGATTAGTTTTTAATAAATGCTACTTTTTTTACCATTACTAGTAATAGTATTATTTACTGACTTATCATCATCATGATGTGGTCGTTGCTAGCTCGGACCTTTTTCCTACCACACCATCTATTACTATCCTGCATCAGGGTCAGCAGATCTTCAGGGAGGCAACCAGTATCTCTGCATTGTTGGTTTATGTAGGTAGTTGCTGGCTGTCCGACATGTGGTCATGTCAAGGTGTACAGAGCAGTAGGTCACTTACAAGTTCATGCTTTGCTTGGCAAAAATGTCCAGCAAAACGCATTCTGCGCTCCCGTAATATTGTGGTAATATGGGGTACTGGTCCATAGAGATCTGATCTAGTGGGGTGTTGCATCCAGGATAAATATCTCTACTAAAGGCAGCCTACAATAGTGACTGCTTCAGCGATTACATTGCTCTCCGCAACATAGGCCCTAGGCCTAAAGTGCTCTCTAACGATAGACCAGGCTAGCTAACCTTCTTTTTTAGAATATCTGACAAAGCAAACCATCAATAGATATAGGCCTAAGAAAAATTATAAAAACATTATTATTTGAAACGTTTTTAACTTGCATTTAGCGAATGTCAGTAGTGGAAGACGAATTTGATCAGGGCCAACTTCCCTGTTCTATTCAGACAACCAGCCTGTGAATGAAACTTCAAATTGGCCATTGTCAAGTTGTGAAACAACTCATGAATTCACCCATTGTCCTAAACTGTCAATGGCCTGAATTCAGCTGTAAACACTTATAATTTCAACCATATTGTAGTGTTATAATTAGCAAGTCATAATTAATCTGTACTTAATAGTGAGATATACATATGCCTAATATTTGGTCAAGAAAATTGAATAGAGAGCTCAAAATTACAGATTAATGGTTTTCCTGTCAAATTCTGCTCCCTAGGTATCATTGCTAGTGTCCAACGAAACAGCATAAAACTTGTGAGTTTTGAAAAAGTTGTGGACGGTAAGTTGTCGTATCTTCCTGAATAGAGCAGTGTGTACTTTAAGTGTCCTCCCTGCTTTCAGAACCTTGGTTTTCTTGCGATATGAACATTATCAGTTTTTTTCAGGACGTGTTTGTCTATGCCAAAAAAATCCAAGCAGTTTCAGTTCACATTTCTGCAAATCATAGTTTGGTGCCCAAGTCATCAATTTTCCAATCCTTTCCAATTCATTTGATGCTGGAGCCAATTGTTTAGATAATAGCCCTCAAGTATCTTGGAAACTGAAGGGCTGGCGAATTCTTTTGAATTCCCTGCTAATAATAAGTAGCTTGTTGTGAACACATGCTTTGCCACCTGTTGGCCTTGGATTACTTTTAGGCTTGCTTCTTTGCTCATATTGGTGTGTGGTAAGGTACAATAAGTAAAAGTTGGGAACACCGAATTGGCGAAGATTTTCTTTGCTATCAACCTTCTTTAAGAAAGAGAATTCATGGTAGGCGGTATGCAAATGATTCATATATTTATAGTGTTAATCTATTTCATGGAACATGGCGTGGAAATTGTTGTAAAAGCCTCTGTATTTCGCTCCCAAAGGAAGAGGGAAAAGCCGCATTCAGTCAACCTTTTTGTCGGCAAAGGCCAAGTCACTGATGCGCACTACTCGTGTAAATCAGGGTATCATATAACCAAGCATAGACATCTAGGCCTAGACTCGCGTATGTTTCGCGTTTAAACCAGCCGTCTAAGGAAATTAAAATGTCCGAGAAATAGTTTTTGATCACGTGACTAAATGACGCTCGCTAATTAGTCGGTTTATCTGTCAATCAAATCTCGTCAAGATGTTAATTACGCCAGTATATGCCAGTATGTGGATAGAGCACAGAAAGGTGTGTGCACAAAATCGCTGAATATTAACACGTTAAACGTCCAGTAGTGAGTTTGTCATAACCCTATCCTGCCGGCTGCTCTAATATGTGCCTCATGTGTTCGATAGTAACCACCTCCTTCTCTTTAATTACCACAGATCAGTGCAAAGAACACACGATCTCTTCCTTCAAGACTTTCAAGGGACAATTCTGAAAGTAGGTTGATTTTAATTCTCAACACAAGCAAGTAACAATGTACTGTATGAGTAAAGTGATATGACAATACTTTGCAAACAAAATTCATAAAAATTTAAGTATATGTATATATGTTATAATCAATTGTAATTATTGATTTATATTTTTGAACTAAAAATATAATATTTTTTTATTTATTGCTACTTTTGTCCTTTTGATTAACATTTTAACTACAAACCTGTATGCAGCAGTTTTTACCTGTGTACAGTATTACAAAGTGTAATTGTTGTTTTTGAATGAATTAAGTTCCCAAATGCAATAAGTTATCAAGGAGTTTTTGATGCACTTGTATGTAATAAAGTTAAAGCAAAAATCCAAACCAAGCCAATTATCTATGCTACGAATATTAGAACCAATTTATTTATTTGTCTTGTTTATTGGCATTGAACAGATACAATTTTCAGTTTCATTCTAAGAACTTTAATATACAAAATGTAGGCAATTTGAATAATTTTATTGTTTTAAGCTCATATATTTATATTTCATTTGTTATGTGTGTAATTGTTAGTAATTATTTTTTAAGAGACTGTGTTTAAGAAAATGCTGGTATTATAATGTTGTATGATCAAGGATGTGCATCAATAAGTATACAGACATAAGGCCATATGCAATTGTGCTGGCAAATATAAATTTTATTACTATGTGTGTTCTTTACACTGAATGACTGGAAATATATTTTAAATAAACAAAATAGTGTTGATTAACCCTTTGAGGTTTGACTGGTAATTAACCAGGTCACTGGGACCAATTAAGGGGATATACTGTAAATAGGTTTAGAAAAGCGCAGAATACACTTTTATGACTGTAAATTTTAGCAAATATCATTTTGTGTTGGAGGAAATGTTTGGGCCTTCTGAAAAATTGCAAAAATGATTGACCACTTGATATGACCACCTTAATATACAAATTATAGCAATTTGAATAATTTTATATTTTAATTATCAAAACAGTGTTGATTGACTTGTTAATTAGCCTTCCCAGAGAGTGAAACTCTGTGAAGTCTATTGTTTTTACCAGTGTTCTTCATGTTGTCGTTGTCGTCGTTGTTGTCTCTGTTGTTGTCTCCGTTGTTGTTGGTCATTCGTTTGTAACCACAATAAACTAACGTTTGGTATTAGTCCAGTAGGTTTCAAACTTGAGAGAATGAAAGACAGTAAGAAGGTAGAGCCTATTGTTTTTGGTACATGTGAATATGCTAATTGCTCATTTGGATAATTAATATTTCACTAATCAGCTAATGTAGGTTAGTTACCACAATAAAAAAAAATTATTTATTGTCGCTGTTGTAAATTGTTTGTTACCACGATATTACTAAAGTTTGGTATTTTCTGATTGGTTTCAAACTTCTACAGTACTTATCAATCTCAGAGAAAATTCACTTCGCTGGAAGACTATGCTTTTACTGCCTTTTACTGTGAAATTTAAAAGGAGCATTTGTATAGAAGCTTCAAGCACCTATCCTGAAAATTTGATTCCTAAAAGTTGAATGGGAGGGACAAAAAATATTCAGTGTCAGATTGTTGCACCTGATAATTTTTGTGTTCCTCAGATATTTACAGAATGAAGAAAAATAGAATTGTTAACAATTATTTTTGTTTCAATCATTTGCAATTTCTTTTTCATCACACTATTTTGTAGGTGATGCTGATGAACTTCTACAAGACCTAAAGAAAAGCTTAGACGAAATTGAAATAAATGATAAAAAAGATGAAAAAGTATCACCACTAGACCTAAGTGCTGAAGACTGCCACGAAGCTTTCACAGAGAAAGCCAAACTTCTTGGAATTGATGTCAGAGATGCAGAAGACTCAAAAGGAGATACTGGAAAACCAACTCTGATTCAGGATTTGCATGAAGCAAGCAAGAAATTGCCACAGCAGCCAATAGCAGGAGGATGGAGAGATGTGAGTAAAATTACCAATACTGTAACACTATCCTCAGTTATAGCTATCAAGGAAGAAGTAAAAGTATCAACTGTACGTTATCATCCACAACCACTGTACAAGTTCAAGAAACAAAAGATAGTACAGTAACATCTTCCAATTACGAACCTCTCATTTACGATATTACAAACCAAATTTGCAGAGATGACGTCATACGAACAATCGTTTTTAACTACAAAAACACTTTATAATGTATTTAAAAGTCTTCAGAAATAATTTAAATTGTTAATCAGCTAAGAGAGAAAACATTCAAACCTATAAAATGATATAAAACTAAGTTTCAAGCAAGAAATATCAGTTGTTTTCAGCCAAAATATATTATATTTGAGCTGTGCATGCTTGTACAGACATACTATGTACAGGTAATCTTACATTTTGATCATTGGGGACGCTATTTGCATGGATTCGCGATCTTTATGAGAAGAATAATAACACTCGTTTTTGGCATTATATGACCGTGTTTTCATTCGAAAATCACTTCAATTGATTGCCTCACAGTGAGCACAGGTAATATTGGCTTCTGTAAAGTATTATTCTGTTGCAGAAACAGTAAAATCCAAGTCATGTTGTGCTTAACATTTTTTTTGCACATGGTAAAGTCTGGGAAAATCCTCAGAAAATTGATTTAATACGTGTATGTTAAATGCAACACCTTTTGTACAAATTCTGCCCATATGCCAAAACAAGCTTAGATATAAAAACATTAAAAAAAAAAAATTATTTCTAGTCATAAATCAAAATAAATCAAAATTGTGTATCTATTAAATTGGTGGGAAAATATAAGAGGGGACGAGTAAACTTGTCACTGGCAATTAACTGGCAAATAGATTATTCTCTTCCTTTTGTGCACGGGAAGATATGTAATAAGAGGGCGCCCCCATATGTGCCATCTTCTGAACCAACAGCAACAAAACGCAAAAACATTCATACGTTTTAATTTGATTAATTTGCACATTATTGTCTAGGTGTATCTTCCCAAACTACCAAATAGTCTGTGGTCCTACAGTATATCAGTGAACACAATGAACGCTAGAATGTTACACTGTTTTTGACGAGTACATTATTCATACTTGGCACTCCCAACGAACTCTGTATGAAGAGACTTGTCGCTGACAGAGAACTACTCAAAGAATATATTATTTAAAGGGATTTTTGATAACAGTCATTTTGAAAACAATGCTTAGAATGACAACTGTATTATTTGTACATTTGTCTGTGCCAAGTATATAATTTATTTAAAACACAATTCACTTGGAAGCTGCTGATATACAAATGTAATAATTCAATATATAAGTTGCAGAGCAAACTATAGGTCTAATTTATATTTGAAAATTTAAAATAAATGAATTTTATATATTCAAGGAGTTAAGAATTAAGCTGGAAAATAGAATGATAAATATAAATTCTGGCTTTAAAACTTAATTAGATCTATGGACGTTTTTTAATTGAATTTCAGCCAACCATGTACTATGAAAATAAAATGTATTTAACATGTGTGCTGTAGTAAAAGATAAAAAGCTTTTGGTCCTCATAAATCAAGTTGTATATTAATTTTAGTGGAAAATGTTCCTGACAGTAGTGTTATGAAAAAAATGAAAATGTGTATAACTGGATGTACTTTTCTGTGGTATTAGGAAGAAGCAAAAAGGATTCGTCAAATGGAAATTAGCATGAAGCAAAGATTGGAATTGGAATTGACTCAGGTGAAGCTTAATAATATGGAACACAATACAGAGGTATAAAAACTCACTGGCTAGTGTTTATATGCTGGTTTACATTATATGTAGTATTTCTACCCAAATAGATCTGGCACACGTAACCCCAATGAGCTCTCCCTGACTCTATCTGAGGGCTTTGGAACTTAAGGACCCCTGGATGTTCTGGGCATTTTTTTGATGAGTGTGGCCATTTAATAATAGAAAAATTGTAACCCCAATCAAAATACGCCATTTAAACATAAAAAATGCTGGAACAGATGGGGCCCCTGCCCCCGATAGTAGGGCCTAAAGAAACTTTAGCCAGGGATCTCTCAGTTGTGCAGAATTCTATCAATTCTATAAGCTGTGAAGTACTATGACAACATTAATGATAATATCATAATCATCATCTACATATTAATTCTGCTAATCGCCTTCGCGTAACTTTACCTATCTCCTCTGAAACGCTGGCAGGAATTTGCTCATATCTCATACACTGGGAATTCTATATGTCACGACTATATTTCGTTACTTTTCAAGGCTGGATATTGGATAACAACAAAAAAATGGGTATATGCTAGTAGTATTATTATTTCATTAATTATAAAGGTCACCACAAAATGGACAAGGCCTTTTTATTCAACATTTTGCTTGTATTGATGATGATTTAATAAAAGCGAAATGTCAAATAAAATGGCCATGTCATTTTATGGGGTGACCTTTATTTTATTTGTACTTAAAATCAGTGGACATTCTAATCATTATCAATATTATTATTATTAGTATTAGTATTATTATTACTATTCTTACTATTCTTATTCTTTAGTGTTATTATTATTGTTATTATTATTATTGTTATTATTATTATTTATATCGTCAGTAATATTATAAATAATTAATTTTTTGCAGCAAATAGAAAGAAAAGCTCAAATGAAAATCAAAGTAAAGGACATGGATCTGAAGAAGATGAATATAGAACTTACAGAAGCAGAAAAACAAATTTCAACACTGTTAGAAGAGAATAAGAAGTAATACAAAACTTTAATCATTTTTTAAAAATTTTTGATAAATTTGGTTTGTATTGTAACATTTAAACAGCAGTCAAACATTTGTCATGAAAAAGTACTTTCATAAAAGTTTTTTATAAATACCTTTCAAACAATAATGTTACACATGATTATGTGTGTAAAGCTGAGCACTTATTTTACTGCGTCGTACAACAAATCCAAATTTGCTCACTGTGAGTGCTAAACGACTCGACGCCATTGTCTGATTGTCAGTGGCAGTTTAAACGTATCGTCATTAAAAAATGATCAGTTGTGTGGTCGAAGTTACGTTTTCTATACAATCGCGTCGGCCGACGACCGTGGGTCACTGTGAGTGCCTGGCTTTAGTGATACACAGATTTCACTAAATATTCTTAAATGGTAACTTATACCCGAGCCACACAAGATAGAATATTACACGTACGTACTAAATGTTACACAGACTTCTCAAGATATTCGTATTTAGATACTATCACCTTGATGTGTGAATAAAAAAAATGGCTAAAAGTTAATTCAATTTATATGCATGCAGTAAGTGTATTAGATGTGCAACATATATGAACTTCACCCAGTAATTGTAAGTTTTGAACTTGAGAATTTAGTATTATTTCTTATTGACTAATACCATAAATTTCCTTGTGCTACAGGTTACAAGATCTAAACAGTAAATTGAGTGGAGACGTGTCTAAACTTACTGGAGACTACAGATGTTTGCAAGATAACATAAATCTAAAGAACAACGGTGGTCCAGAGGAAATGACATTAAAACTGAAGGAAGCATTAACCAGGGCACGAGAAGCTGAGATCAAGGTAAATTAACAAAATTAACCATTACTATAGCTTTGACCCTTCTTAAACCCTGCACGCACTGCAACAGTCATCAAAATTACAAATTTTTTTTTTTTGAAGGCAGGCACACACTGCCTCATGTGGCTGTCATACGACGAATCAAACTCCGCTCCCTGTGACCACTAGACGATACGACGCTGTCTGTTGATTGTTGGTGGATGTTTGAATGGATTGTCATTAAAAATGATCCGTTTTGCGCTTGTCGGGCATTGCCTTCTCCAAAATCTCGTGCGGGCTGACAACCATTGTGTGCACAATGGGTGTCCATCTTACAGGGGTAAACATTGTAATGGAATTACAAATTATGTAATGCTCACATTAGACATGCAGATTCCCACTGGCAAGGATTTAACAGTATCTTCTTCCTTTGCTTAATCCATCATGTCTACTAGCATTAGACAGCAATAAAAACGATGCTGTCCAGAGTCGGTAAAGTATCAACAACACAATGGCACCAACTAAAAAATTTTTTCGTATTCATCTACAGAAGACTACCGGGCAATCACTGTCGTATGATTGGATTCATACAATGAATCCCACTTTGCTCCCTGTGACTCATGAGCATTGAAGTGCGCTACGCCATCTGCTGATTGTCCGTGGCAGTCAGAGCTGATCGTCGTTAAAAACAATTTGTTCCCGAGTTGACCAAAGGTCGCCACAGTTCAGCACACACACAGTGGCTTACACCAGTTCTGATGATTGAGCTAGCTGCTTTGTTTCCCAATCGCAGGATACAGATGATGTTTCTGTATCCAAATATTCAACAATTAGAGAAAGGATGAGAGCCCAACATCCATCTTTGAAAATGTCTTCACTAATGACTGCCTTTATTATTTTCAGAACAACTTTTGATGTGGGTAAAACAATTATGGTAATTTTGTACTCTTTACTTTATTTGCGTGCTGCAAAATTTGGTTCGCTTGAAGCAAGTGTAGTAGTATTAGGCATTCTTATTCATTATCTCAATTTTTTATCAATGCTCTTTGAGTATGCAAGAGAACTTCAAGACTGTGCTGAATAATGCCTTTAACATTTTCACTGAATTCATGGTATACAGATACTGTTCATTTATGATTGATTGGGTGATTGATTTATTAATTGATTGGTTTGATTAATAAAATTAATTGTTTGATCGATAAAGCATCCAAATTTGTTTCCATTTATTCCTCATTTGATGATCACATTCAGTGTGCTGCTTTTATTTTTATTGCTGCTGATTCTTTCAGATTTTCTTGGCTTTCACTATGTCATTTTCTTGTATCGTATGCTGCCACTTTCAACATGCTGAAGATTCTGTAGCTTAATGTGTGTGTGTGGATGTTGGCAGCTGCCTGGCGTCTACCCCAATATTATGTTTTCTCTTTTCTTAACTACATATGGTTGAGTAGGAAATCAAAAATATTGAAGCTCCACAGGCAACCAAACAACCAGACCAACCCACACACACAAACACACACCCACCCACACACACACACCCACACACACCCCCACAAACACCTATCTTGGTTTATAGTATTACTGACATTAATTTAGCATTCTTTGGGCTTCTTTCACTGTCTTTCCTACTTTATTCAATGGTGTACAGGCCTGGTAAAAAATGTTTTGTGCCTCTATCTATTAAAATTATCTTAATAAGATGCTTTTAGTACCAAATGTTATCTTTACACTATGTGGCGAAAAAGTAGTGGTTGGGAGCAAGCCGAAATTTTAAAAGTTGATCTTTTGCATGTGTAATGTGGAGGTGGTTTGGGGCAGCTAGAACGGTTTTCCAACCCCAAGGTCAGGTATTCAATCCATAGCTGTGCATTTCGCTTTTGTCCTTGAGCATGGGCACTTTATCTGCATTGCTTCTCTCCACCCAGGAGTATAAAAGGGTACCTTGTGGAGTTGCCTGCTCCTGCAATGCAGTTTCCAGCAGCAACACTTTAAAAGCATGTGGACCCAATGACCAATGGAAAGAACTGTGCTTTATAACTTCAAATAAGAGGTGCATTATGAATACCTATACTAGTACCAGTAATGCAGCAGTGATTGTCTAGTGTAATAAATAACCTTTTTTAGAAACTGCTTCAGAGGGAAATCTCAATGCCTACGACTGCTGGTCGTGGGATTGCGCACTTTTTTTCAGCCCTTGGTGTAAAAAAGTTAATTTTTATTCGAAATCATCATTATTGGCGGACGACGGGTTCGCTAAATAAGGTATAAAAAGGCCTTGCCTTACCATTATTATTATTGATATTTTGTTATGTTATCCTAATTTTGTAAATTATAATCCTGATCCATCATTAATATGCGCATAATAATACTATCAAGTGACATATTGATTATGCAGATATTGGAGAACATATATAAAGAATGTTTGGAAAGAATTTACAGGCTTGTGCAGAAAAAAGAGAGCGACTTCATGTCAATGTTTAGGTAAGTGATGTTACACAGCATCTTTACATAACGTCTAAGGTTAAGAAGAATACACTATTTTATTTTGTTGCCCATGTCTATCTAGTATTGTAATTAGATAGTTATAATAGTTTAATTTAATTTATTTATTAGTAATGTTTGTATATGTACAATTTATATTTGTTTTTTTTGTTGTTGCATTTTGTAATTATTATTAGTGTTCTTTTGGCCACTGTGACAATTGAAATTATGCCATTGGATGTATTAAAATTATGCTACAGAATGCTACGCCTCAATTTGGATATATAAACGCCTGCCGTGAATTTAACAAACATTTATACTTGTATACACTACAGACAGGTATAGAGTACTTACAGCGTCCATTTGGCTAAAAGTTGATTTAGAAAATTAAAAAAATATATGCACCTCTAGATGCTTGGAAGTGGCACTTTCAGACAATTTTTTGCAATTCATTTTTTAGAATTTAACTGAATTTACATTAATTCTAAATTATGCTCTGTTATACTACGTTTTCATGAAATTATGCATAGTGTATAATGCTCCATGCTACAGGGGTCAAAATTATGCCAAAAAGCATAATCATGCTACAAATGACCACTATGCTTGAAGATATTCTTAAAATGCAAAAACAATTTTTTTTATGTGATTATGTAGAAACTACTGCTGCTGAACATTATTTTTGTTTATAAAAAGCTTTGCATGTTTTATTATTTAAATATCATGATTTGCGGTATTATTGCTTGCTAATTGAGGTCTAGAAATTTGGTTAATTTGCAGTCCTCAGGATAATATTTCAGTTGACACACTTTGGAAGGAGTACCTTTTACTAGTTGATGTACAGAAAGCTGACTTAAAGGATCAGTACATTAATATTTTAGAGTCACTGAAGAAGGATGTACCTCTTAAAGACTGCCCTCCTTTGTTAGAACAAGATATTAGTGTCTTCGTGAAAAAGGTGCATGTTTGCTTTTACTTTGCTTTTCACTTTATTTTTACTTTTCTTTTTACTTTAATTTGTATTTCATTTGACTAAAACCTATGTTTAAAAATCTATTATTTGTCATTAATTATTTTTTTTTTTTAATTTATTTCTTTCATGCATAATACATTCATAACATTGAACAGAAAAAATAACAATAAAAAAGCCTTAATAAAAAATAGACAACAATATAATACAATACAATTGTACAAGAAAAACAAATTATTGTTTTTGTTATCATCATTGTTGTCATTGATAATAATGACAACAATAATACCAACAACAACAATAACAAAACAGAAGAAATAATAAGAAGCATGCCATTGAGTTTACAATACAGTAGGGCGATTCAATTCAAGAGTCTGAGGTTACATCTTTATATAGTTTTAGATCCTTGAAATAAGGAATTATATTTTGTAATTTACAGCTATAGATATAATATTTAGTGAACAATATGAAAGAATTAACAATTGGTGGTAAATCAGGCTCTCCAAAGCAGATACTTTTTGTGTCAAAATTTATTACTGTCATTAATTTATGCTAATATTGAACATTTAGTGATATATTATTATTTTTGCAATATAGGCTGGATTTTCTTTGATTTCTCTATTCTAAAATATTTTGTTTCTATTTAAGTACAAATAATAATAATAACAATAATATCAATAATAATAATAGTAATAACAATAATGACAATATAATATGACAATGGTGGCAGAAAGGACGATTGTCGCAGTGATAAGTGATAACAACGACAACAGTAACATTAATAGCAATAATTAGAATAATAATCTGATTCTTCTTTCTATTTGTCTGTATTTTTAGTAAAGTCATATAACTTTAGCACAAAATTTGTTGAAAAGAAAGATCAACATTTCAGATCAGTCATGGATGCTGTTTCTTAAAAGTATGTCTATGGTAGACCTGAAGTCTTTTACCCAATAACTTCTGTTTTAAAGTTACATAGTAAAATTAATTTGATTTGTTGAAATCATATATAAATAATAAACCATATAATAAACCATAATCATATTTTGACAGGACCGGAAGGAGAAAGTAGGAAAAATAGAATCGCAACCATCTCGTCATGCTCTAGAAAAACAAGATGTTGACAGTGGCCCAAGGTAAGTTTTTGAATATTTACAGTGGGGCTGATGGAGGTGGAGTAGGGGATCGATAGTAAGGGGGAGCTAGGTAAAAAAAAATGTAATAGGTGATTTTTAACTACTTTTTTACTTCTAAATATTTTTCCAAATATTTTTAATAGGGTTTTTTTTTTTTTTTTTGGGTTGGGGAGCGGGCGTGAGGGTGGTGTGTGCAACCCTTAGATACGCCACTGGTTATTCATTTATAAGTTTGAGATGCTACAGGCTACAATACGGGGCGCCAAACGACACACTACCTGTTCTGTCACACAAAACCATGTTTGTAAGGGACAAATCATGTTTTGTAATATACGAAAGTTATTCTGTCTTTACAAAACATGTTTTGTCTCGACTAACATGGTTTTGTCATTCACAAAACGTGTTTTGTCCTGACAAAACATGTTTTGTCTCGACAAACATGGTTTTGTCATTTACAAAACATGTTTTGTCTAGACAAACATGGTTTTGTCATTTACAAAACATGTTTTGTCTTGACAAACAAAACATGTTTTGTCGAGACAAATATGGTATTGTCATTTACAAATAACGTTTTGTCGAGACAAAACATGTTTTGTCGAGGCAAACATAGTTTTGTCAAGACAAAACATATTTTGTAAATGACAAAAACCATATTTGTCGAGACAAAACATGTTTTGTAAATGACAAAACCATGTTTGTCTCGACAAAACATGTTTTGTCAGGACAAAACATGTTTTGTAAATAACAAAACCATGTTTGTCTCGACAAAACAAGTTTTGTCAGGACAAAATATGTTTTGGAAATGACAAAACCATGTTTGTCTCAACAAAACATGAATTTTTTTATGTATAATATAGAAAACATATTCAGTTAATATATACTGTACTCTCAAAAAGTACACTCTGAATGCAGAATGAAATCCATGAAGGAAGCCTTTTTTTGAGTCACAGCTTGTGGCCCTTGTCATATAGTATGGCATAGTGACCAAAATATATATGGTAAGAGATTTCAATATTGACCAACATGGGCTTGGCCACCTATACCAAGTCTATTTCATTTCATTTCATTTATTTATTTATTTGACACCCCTAGGATAGGCTATGAGATTCTAGCTAGGTAGTATAGTGGGGAACCTTATGGCAACAAAATGGGTTCTGTCAAAACCCACCACGTAGGTACATCCCCTTGTATCCCTGCGGCATCCCCTTATATTACCCTTAAGCAATAGAACCTTGTGTTATCAATGTCACAATATAATAGCCTATTATACAACAATACATAATGGGGAATCATTTGAGGGAGGGGGTGGGTCAACTTGACTCGCCAGGCCTGGTATTGTATGTAGTGTGCTAGAAGCCCCCGTGCAGCCGATTCAGCCATTTGACGTATGGTTCCCTACTATACCTACCTATTATAGTACTAGGCCTAGCTACCTAGCATGAATCCCACCTAGCCTATCCTAGGGGTGATTATCCTAGCCTAGGCCTGGTATAGGGGGTCAAGCTCATACTGGTCAATATTCAGATTGCTGGCCTATATTTTGGTCGCTACACCATACCATACCAAACCGATTATTTCTTGTGATGGGCGACGCGGTGGGGGCATGAAAGATTCACCTTTATTCACTATCTCAATCACACGTTTAATTGACTCCTCCCCCTCATGAATATACGGAAAATGTTTTGTGATTTACAAAACATGTTTTGTGAAAGACAAAACCATGTTTGTCTGTACAAAACATATTTTGTAAATCACAAAACATGTTTTGTAAATGAAAAAACCATGTTTGTCTTGACAAAAACATGTTTTGTACAGACAAACATGGTTTTGTCATTTACAAAACATGTTTTGTAAAGACAGAATAACTTTCGTATATTACAAAACATGATTTGTCCCTTACAAACATGGTTTTGTGTGACAGAACAGGTAGTGTGTCGTTTGGCGCCCCGTAACAGTAATAAATTTAGCAATCATTGCTGAGGAAAGAAGAGAAATAAAAACATGAATGCTAAGTTCATCTAGTGTAACATTTTAGTTGTTTGGTAGACATTAATACTATATTGTTCATAAAAATTCTCAATTTTCTATTTTTTTTCTCCAGATTGACTAAGGAACCTTTAACTGGCAATTTACAAAATCATCAGGTAAGCACATAAAATAGAACCACCATAAACTTTAACACATCACAAACTCATTTTATTTTGATTATTTGTCTGAATACATTAGTATTTACATGTAGGAGAGGCATTTATAAAAAACTATCTTATTCTATTGCAAAATTAACTTATACTTAAATTAAATTTGATATTGATTTGTACAGTACAGTACCTTGTAACTAAAAATATGATCGATAAAATATCTTCTCACCAATTAACAGATGCATAAATAATATACCCATGCCTGTGGGGAAGAGGAGGAGGTGGGGGTGGACATTTCTGTGGTTCATGTAGAACCCCCTTTTAAGCAAATCCTCCTAATAAACCGTACAACCCCTCCACTTTGCATAAAAAAGTACTATTGAAATCATGATGGATTCACTGCTTTCATGATAAAATTGCCTTTTCTCCATGGGGATTTGCTCTCTAAACAGTGGCCCTATGTTTTCCATTAAAATTCCTCTAGTATATAACTACTCCTTTTTTTTTGGATGCCTAAAACCTTTCCTATGTTTTTTGCACAGACCCTTTTGACTCGTGTGAATTTTTGTAATATAATATCTGTAAATTGGCAAGAAAAAAGGTCGCTTCGGGAACAGTGGCGGCTCTACGGGGGCTAGGGGTCTACAGCCCACTGTGGGGGAAGCCTTGGGGAGAGAAACCACAATTCGTCGAGGAGAAGAAAAACTTCAAAAAATTATATGTACAGTATTTTGTACCTATTAATAGACTCTAAAATCGATTAAAAAGCCTTTGAAACTCCCAAATTGTCATATTTTCAAGGGGGTGGGGCTGTGGCTACATCTCCTGGAGCACTTTTGAAAGGTTTGTAGCGACGCTGACCACGGCCACGGGACATCGGGTCGGGGACCTTGGATCCCCTGCCGGAGAATTCCTGGTACTGCCACTGTTTGCAAATATGTATCTTATTTTGTCCTTTTGAAGGAGCATTTCAATAAATTAGAGCATTTGTTAAGGTTATTTTAAACAACATTTCTGTATATCAGTAGGATAATGCTGTTTGCATCTGAATAGCTGCATTGCATCATGTAAATATTTTTAGTTAGAATATTTCAAACTGATGATAACAGATCCTTTTTTTTTTAAGGTGTCTCCTGTTAAGGAAGAAATGGCTATACCCTCATTAAGACAGCCTCTTCAGAAACCAAGTCAGTTATTTTCGAGAAACCTGACAGCCATCCCAAAACCTCCTGGCTTGTCTATTCCTGGATTGTCTCCATTTAAACCTCAACACACACCACTATATGGATCTCATTCAACAGCTGGAGCAAACATCCATTCAGTACCTCAGCTGGATAGTACCTCATATAAGAATCCAATACCAGTCATTCAAAGTCCACCATTTAGAACATTGGATAACATAGGATCAAGCAGACCACCCGTATTAAGTGCTGAACCATTTCCATTATCATTTAATTTTAACACACAAGATAAACCACCTGTCATGCACAAGCGGTCTCTACAACCAATGCCATTCAGAAAGATGTCTGCACCTGCCATTCCGTCTCTATCAGTACCTCTAAATGTGCCTGTTCAACCCACACAGCCTATGATGTCTATGGCCTCTACCCAGGTACCTTTAAGGCAAACCAGTAATACGCACCCTACCTTTTCAACCAACAACATTGGAACATCTGCCACAGAATTTGGAAAAGATGTTTTGCCTGACGGTCCATTGTCTCAGAAAAATCAGGACACCAACAGTATAAAAATGGACCAGATGACGATGTCTGATGCAGACAATGTAATTGCTTGTGCTGATGATAAGACTGTTCAGCCTAGTCAGATTAAGAGAAAGCTTAATCAGAATATTGCTGCGAATTTCAAACCAAATCTATTAGATGTATACTCCAGAGGAAATGAAAATCCTTCTGAAAGATACAATGAGAAACAATTAGATGTTAGTTGTTGTACATTCTATGTTGAGCTAGATGAAACCGAGTGTTGGGATGGTGAGGATTACACGACTACTCAGATATGTACTCCCTCACCAAATACTACACCATCACCTGATCAGAAACTTAGTAATGGTTTTGGCTACCAATTTACTAGTCCTGCCAGTGGTGATGCCAAAGATGACACCAATGCTAACAATGTGTCTGCGCTTGTGAGGACATTGCAGACCTGGTCCCAAGAGATACCTGGATCTTTTAAGGTGCATAAAGAGGGAGAAGTTGATTGTAATCCTAAAAATACACCACCGCAAGTACTATTTGGAAATGAGAAATGTTCAACTGAACCAGTTGGTCCAATTTCTCCACCAGAAAAACAGAAGGTATCTGATAGATTTTCTGCTGGCATCAGCAAAGTTCATGGCAAACCTAGTGTTAGCAATGTCTCCCCTCCCTTATACAATGAACAAGAGAATAGGAGATGGCAAGAAGTGACCAAGAAGAAGAAGAGGAAGGTTCAGACAGTGCCATTTGCTATAAAAGACATGAACAAGCCTCAAAGTAGCCTTGACAAGATTGTGTATACGTTGATGATAAAGCTTCCGAACTTAGAACGTAGCGAGTACATTGATTCCGTGAAGGTCATCCGTGACGTGCACAAGGGATCTTTGAGTGGCATTCCTCTGACAGAGATTGTGAAGGAATGCAGCATATACCTGCAAGATCAACAGAAAAGGAAGGTAGTACCGGTACATAAAGAGCAGGGCACTATTTGTGTCGTCTGTCATGAAGACGTGGATGTAGATAATGATCGGAAGTTAGAGTGTGGACATCAGTATCATGGTGACTGCATTAAGCAGTGGGTTCACACATGTGAAAGGACGTGCCCTCTTTGCAGAAAGTTCATTTTATTGCCAGAAGACTTTCCTGTGCTATAGAAAAGGGTCAGACAAATGCAAGATTTCTAAGAAACATTGGTGATTATTAAAAAGTTTGAAACTATTAAAAAAAAGTCATGTTTTGTGGGGGGTTTTTTTCATTAGTGTTTGCAACATTGTGATAACACATTTATTAGAACAAGACAAATTACTGCATTTCTCAATTTTCGTTACCATAATTTGGATTTGAAGCTACCTCGTGACACTGTGTGTATGTACCTTATAATACGTATGAAATGAAGGTCATGACCTCAGTGATATCACAAATTATGCTGTACAACATGATGTCATTGTACATTGTAATAGATTTTGCATGTTGATAAAATAGAGACTACATATTTAATCTGACACCAGCTTACTTGTTGTTGGAACTTTTAGTTATGAGCAATTGTGATTAGTTGATAGACTCGCATATACTTTATAGTGACTATCTTTAGCTATAATATGGTGTTATATTCATAGTCTGTATATTGTATTTTTTCGTTGATATAATCTATTTACTATATTATTCTTTTGTTATTTATTAAAGAAGTTAATGTTTTGATTCGAATTTTGTATTTCTGTCATTATTCTGATATGGCGTCGAAAACAGTCAGTATCGCTGGCAATGGACAGTAATAAACATTTTTGTAACTTTACTTTGGCAGCCTTTGCCTTCCATACACAGGTCACTATATTTTACATATAGATTGTTTCCAACAATGAGAAAAACTATATTTTAAATGTCTATTGTACTGTATTTGCTAATAATTTTCACAAGCTATTTCTTATTTGCATGAGATATTTCCTTTCAATTAAAGATAATTCCTTACCAATTCACAAATGCATAAATAATACACTATTTTTTAAAATTATATTTGTACAGCTGACTGCCATTGAATGGAGGATTCATTGAATGGTAAATTTTTTTTAAGGTGTAGTGTGTTGGGCATTGAGCCTGAGGTTCAAAGGGGAAGGTTTTGGAGTGTTCCCTTATCTATAGCGAGGTCCTGGAGCTATGCCACGTGGAAGCTTTGGAGTTTTAGACGTTTTAATTACTTTTCTAAATGATTCCACACGTGTGGTTAGTGATATTTTGGTTGTTGTCGGGTGGACGAGTGCCCCTTCTTCCACACTTGGATGCAGCACTGCCGCCGTCATCATCTTCATCATCATAATCATCATCATTTCATCAACATACCTGTACATTAGTATATTCGTCATCATTATCTCCATTATTTTTAAATACTGTATGATAGCTCCTATATTCAATATATAACATGTGCTGATAAAAAAATTTATATTAAGAAATGTACAGTTGTTTGTAAAATTAAATCCAAACTATTGCTTCGTGAGCTATTAGTGAATCTTAGCAGCATAAGAAAAAAAATTAATATTAACTTTTTATTTCAAAAAAACAATTACTGTACGTTGGAATTTTATTGTTTGGATGTGACCCTAAAAATGATTGTTATACAGTACATTTTTTTTTCGGCATCAAAGTCAGATATTGGATGTTTAATGCTTGGTTGATATGATAAATTGTTGAGTCATATCCTGGAGCCTTTTACACTGCATAATGATTACAGTGAAAACACTGTCACCGTTGAAACAAATTAATAGATGTTGCCAGTGGATAGATGTTATGGGGAGTTTTGGAACATTTATGTTACTGCTAATTGTACTTGTTTTAAAGATTTTGTACATTCAAGTTTTAATATACAGTAGTACCGTATCCAGCCTTTCTGGACAACATATTTTATAGGTAACCTATGTGGAGTAATGCAAGTTGTAGTTCAAGCTGTAGCCTTCCTTTTTTTCCAGTTTCATTGATCTTGGCTCAACCTGCTAAAATATTTGTTTCCAGAGAAACAACTCAACCCCGAGCTTAAGAAGTGAAACCGAATAAGCTAATATTTGCTTGTATTGGACCTGTGTTTGCTACTAAACAAAAATTTAAAATGATTATTAACCATTTTTATAGAGGGTAGGCCTAACCCTGTCTCTTATACACACAAATTATCAAAAAGCACTTTACAGGCCTAAGTACTATTCTGTTGACATTAGAAGCCAATGAGTTAGCCTAAAGCAGACACACAGCAATGCCCATAGCTCTCTTTGGCCGTTGAGCAAAGTTTGCAAACGTCATTCAAAATTAAGTATCTTTTTTTTCTTTTCAGAGTTAATAAAAAAAAAAACACTGAATTATTTGACATTGCTTGAACGTTTGTCACGGAACAAGAAAACACTCATGGTTCTATTTTGGTTAGCCTATACAACGCTCACAACTATAAATGCAGAAAGAAAGGGAACAATTCTAATACTCTGTATGATTTGGAAGGATAATGCCTATTCCAACAATACAACATTTTCATTCGTTGAATAGAACTGTCAATCTTTCAACGACTGAAAATATTCTTCCCATTGCACGACTACAACACATTCATTATCCGTTTTATAACACACCTAAACTAGATCCTCGTCATTTGATATTTTATGAAAAATAAAATTGGGTCTACCTTTTTTCTACCAATGAAATTGTATTTGGTGGAGGCGTTCAATAGGACAAAACGAATGGAAAAAGATTCTGTATACTAATAGAACTAAATTTTCATAAGTGACAAAATGGTGTAAATAACTAATGTTACATGATATAAAGGCCATCAATGACAAGAATATATTTAGGTGTGTTTAAATGGCTAATAAATACACACCATCTTATTATGTCAGCCTCAATTTTCTGTTTTTCACTTTTTGGTATTTATTCATGAACTGATTTGTAAAATAGTTCTTTCCGAACACTGTCACTTGTCTACATAGAACTTAACCTTAAAACTAAAACATTATACTTTCTTATCTACTTCTACTGAATTTGATCCCACGTTATATAAAGCGTTATCGAAACCAATACTTCCATTTGGATCGTTGTGTTTCCTCGTTGAACGGACAACAGCAAAATGGAATATTTTAATCACAAGAAAAATGGCCGCCAGAGCTGCAACACATATTCCAACAATCGCACCTTTATCTAATAGAGATACAAAGATTATATTGGATTAACAATGACAATATTGTTTTTAAAATAATTCAAATTTTAGTACATTACAGAATAGAAAGTGCAGGCAGCTCCCCTTTTCTGTTGCACTTCCGCAGGTAGGCCTAGTGTTCACATCCACCAGCTGCCCACACTAGCAAGTTCAGTATTTACAGCCCGTTTGAATGTTATTAAATTTAACAAAAACAGATCTTTTAAATAGTCAAATAATACTATACTTGACATTTTGTAATTCGCTGTAGGGTACTTGGTATATTGTTTCTTAAAATTGGGAATAAAGTGTAGTTATCAGTTTTATTTAGTGGGGAAGTAACATTTTAATTATCGGAAGGAGGGGGAGGGATGGATTAATTTCTGAGCTGTTTTGAGTTGGTATTGAAGTTTTAATCATTTATCTTAATTTTTTTTTTCTCGGACGCTCCTTTATAATTTAATATTATAATAATATTTGCCACCACCGCCATCACATATTTCAAAAACGGATCAACAGATTTGAATGAGCTATTGGAATTAAGCAAGTTACAAGAAATAAATTATGTTTTGGTGACGATCCAGTTTTGGGAGTAAATTTGAGGGTCATTTAATATTCTAAACGTCTCTCAGACCAAAATATCTCAAAAATTCACCAATGGCAGTGGCAGATTTAGCAATGGGGGTGGATAATGCGATTTGCGACACTGGGAACAGATCTGTTTCGAAAGGTGAGGGGGACATTTCGTGAGCGAACATTTTAGGAAATAGTAGCTCCAGACAGTGGCGGCGCCAGTGGGGAACCGGGAGGCTTAAGCCACCCCATCGGTCAAAGCTCGTCGGGCAGTCGGACCAAAAAAAAAAAAATAGGCCTAGTTTTCCCATCCCAGCCATTTCCGGCCATCTAGGAGTCCCAATTTTTAAAAAAATCCCTTTTTGAGAGGAGGGGAACCCCCTCCCATACCCACCCCTGGCTCTGGCCTTCGGCCCTCAGATAACGCTGCGCGCTATAGTTACACCCATAAATACTTAGCCCCCCCCCCATAAATTATAAGAGCCACCACTGTCTCCAGATGACCGGAAATAACACTTTTATATAGTAAATTCATCGTCATCACATCACCATTATAATTATTCACAATGAAGCGCCAACAAATTTCTTATGATGTTTTACCAGCGATTTTCGGCAACCATAGATAACTAATTAATATGTGTGATGTAGTATAGAAAATAAATATTAAAAACATTGTCTTGGTGTATTTAATTTAGGCCTTCCTACTTCAAAGCCATTAGTCAACACCAGGTGAGGTGGGAACATTTGGGGAAATGGTACCTCTAGATTGCCGGAAATGACACTATTATATAATAAAATTAATCATCGTGATGTTCAATTAAAAATAAATCTCAATTGTCTTTGATGTATTTTAATTTACCTTGCCATGTCCGAAAACCAATTTTATTATTATCACACGCTTTTTTCCATTCACGCGCACTCGAGTCGTGTATTATAAGAAATTCAGATGTATGCGAACAGAGAAAGAGTACTGGTTGTACAGCACACTTTCGTTAAAACCTGGGTCATTTATGCAGTTTATTTCAACAATTTTCAGGCATGAACTTATTACATTGCGGATGAAAAGTGAGGGGACCAACCCCCACCCTCTTAAGAATATTTGGGGACCTGTCACCCTGTCTCCCCTTGATCATGGGTTTTGGGAGAGGCATTGTTTTTCCATTTGAGACTTTTTGGAATTTGTAGCCGGCTAGATGCTCTTGGATGACATCTGAAAAGAAGTTAAGCTTAAAATAGAAAGTATGTTTTACGAGAGTACTACTACTACATGTAACATGTACGCGTACATGAGAAGCACAAGACGAGTGACCATATTTTTTTTTCGAGTCGAGGTCACTGAAGAGGGTGGCTAGCCACTATTTAACACCCCCCCCCCCCCAGATCCGCCATTGAATGGATCTAATTTAAACATAACAGTATGGTTTTTCATGGTCCAATAAAGACATGAATAAAGTTTGGTGACTGTCCGGTGTAGGGTGTGAACATTTAAAGGAACGTCCGAAACCAGATACAGTATTCCATAAACTTAAATGTTAAATTTTAGTGACGATTCAGACTTGGGTGTGAATTTGAGGGTCATTAATAGTGCTAAGGGCCCAGACCTAAATATCTCTAAAAACTTCTTAGTGGATCTAAATGAAAATTTCCAGAATAGTTTGACATATTTTAAGTAAGAATTGTTAAATTTTGGTGACGATCCGAAGTTGGGTTTTGATATAACCATTTTAATAATAAACCGGTTAACTATTTATAAACGCAATTTGCGCTTTCTAAAGCGTTTAAACCAGTTACGGCTAGGTTAAACGCAAAATTACCATAAAATGCATGAACAATTTTCGCTCTCAATCACTGAATTACTAATATATTGAATATCATACAATAAAGATGATTTTATAAGGGTAATTATTTTGTAATTATAAGTGGACAATGATTATTAACCATTTTTATAGAGGGTAGGCCTAACCCTTCCACCGTACCCTAGAAGAAGGTCAGCTGATATTTAGATGCCTTCTAAATACATGAAATAATGTGATCATTATAAGTCTCAGTATGAGGTTTAGAAAGTGGAGATGAGTTTTCGTCAAATCACAGGATTTGAACTCAATACCCAGGATCTTAAGGCAAGCATCTTAACCAAAAAACTACATATTCACTCCATTGATTAATTGTTAATTTATCGGTTGATACTGCTTTTGAGATTTTATATAAAATAAAATGATATCTCATTTACTTAATAACTGAAATATATCCTGTAATAATAATATTTACTTACTTTGGGTTTGTCCATTATCTGTTTTGCCGTCCTTGTCAGTCGTCCGTGGTGGTTGAGGTCTCCTTGTTGTATTTTGAGGCAGCGGTTGAGTTGGTCGTTGTTCGGTATTTGACTTTGTCGTTTGATTAACAATTGTTCGATGGCGCTGTGTGGTTATCGGGACATTTGGTTTTGTAGTCATTCTTGTGAGTGGGGCTTATAAATATAGAATAATTATCAAGATAATTAGCAATAGTATAGTGAAAATCAGGGCCGTCCCATGACCATTTCTCGGGGACCAAGGTTTCCTCTCTGAGTCCAATAAACATAGTTACAAAAAGCTAGGATGGCAACCATTTTGAAATTCAAGGTGGCCACCATAAAAACCATCGAAAATTGAGTATTTTTGTTATGTAATTCCACTCCTCAATCAAAAATGGTAAATTTGTTGTCAAATCTATGTTATTGTGTCATCTGATCAATAAACATGGTTTCAAAAAGCTAGGATGGTTGCCATTTCGAAATTTAAGATGGCCACTATGAAAATTTTCGAAAGTCAAATATTTTGTTTTTTTAATTCCACTTTTTCCTAATCAAAATGGTGAAAATTTGGTGTCTAATCACATGTTAAGGTTCAAGATTGTCTGGAGTATTTTGTGCTCGATACCGGGGTACTGCTAAATACAAAACAAAACGAAGGCATGGGTTCCATATTGATCCGAAGTAATTTCTGAGCTCATGTTCTTGTGGGAAACTTTCATCTAACTTTGAATATAATTTTCTTTTTTTCTCCAATTTCTGCCCATCTCCCTCCTTGAATCCGCCACTGTTTTACCTGTCTCTTATACACATCTAGATGTGTATAAGAGACAGTATATATATAGATACGAATAATTTAAACATGAATATAATATTTCCTACTTAAACAATACATTAAATCTGATTATAACATAATTATATATAGACTATAATATTAACTATTAAATAACATTAATTTAAAAGTGTATATAGTGTCACTACTATAATACGATTAACATTTTCCAGCCTGAAACAAAATTTTATATAGCTGGTGGAGATATGTTTAGACCTAGGCTACTATAGCTAACAACAGGTATACTTTAGGCCTATTCATTTCGGCTTCTTTTAAGAATGGAATGATCTAATGGAAGCACGAGCTACTGTAGACCAAACCCAGTATACCGTTTCGTTTTTATTCGTGCAGGAAGTTTACATATGATTGTTTATTGGGCTCGGAGAGACAAATAATATGTGATTAGACACCAAATTTTTACCATTTCGATTAAAAAAAGTGAAATTAAAAGACAACAAAATATTTGATTTTTAACAATTTTCGCGGTGGCCGTCATCCTAGCTTTTTGAAACCATGTTTATTGAACTCAGATGACAGAATAACATATGATTTGACACTAAATTTACCATTTTTGATTGAGAAGTGGAATTACATACCAAAATATTCATTTCATCTTGAATTTCAAAATGGTTATTATCCTACCTTTTTGTAAATATGTGAGGTATGTAGTTACCCTAAAATCGGAGTGTCTGCGCCCGCCGCCAAAACTCAGATTTCGGAGGTTTTTCGTACTATACGCGAAATCTCCAAAATCGGAGTATTTAAACTTATTCAAACCTCCAATTTCGGAGTTTCTGCGTAGTTTTAATTAAAAAAGCTCTCTATAGAGAGAGCAAAACTTTTAATCAACCCTCCAATTTCGGAGTTTCTGCGTAGTTTTAATTAAACAAGCTCTCTATAGAGAGAGCAAAACTTTTAATCAACCCTCCGATTTCGGAGTTTCTGCGTACTTATACGCCAAACCTCCGAGTCCAAAATCGGAGTTTTTTTAAGCTTTCAATTAAACCTCCGATTTTGGAGTTTCTGCGTATAGTACGCAAAACCTCCCAAATCGGAGTTTTTAAACTTTTATTCAAACCTCCCATTTTGGAGTTTCTGCGTACTGTACGCGAAACCTCCGAAATCGGAATTTTCATACTTTATTCAAACCTCCGATTTGGGAGTTTGTGCTTACTATACGCAAAACCTCCAACATCGGAGTTTTCAAACTTTTATTGAAACCTCCGATTTCGGAGGTTCTGCGTACTATACGTGAAACCTCCGAAATCGGAGTTTTCAAACTTTTATTCAAACCTCCGATTTTAAAGTTTCTGCGTGAAATACGCGAAACCTCCGAAATCGGAGTTTTCAAACTTTATTCAAACCTCCTATTTTGGAGTTTGTGCCTAGGCCCTACTATACGCAAAACATCCAACATCGGAGTTTTCAAACTTTTATTCAAACCTCCAATTTTGGAGGTTCTGTGTACTATAATTCCAAAATCGGAGGTTTGGATAAAAGTGTGAAAACTCCGATTTTGGAGGTTTGGCGTATAAGTACGCAGAAACTCCGAAATCGGAGGGTTGTTAAAAGTTTTACTCTCTCTATATATATAGAGAGCTTGTTTAATTAATACTACCCAGAAACTCCAAAATCGGAGGTTTCAATAAAAGTTTGAAAACTCCGATGTTGGAGGTTTTGCGTATAGTACGCACAAACTCCGAAATCGGAAGTTTGATTAAAAGTTTGAAAATTCCGAGTTTGGAGGTTTGGCGTATAAGTACGCAGAACCTCCGATATCGGAGGTCGGATTTCGGAGGTTTTGCGTATACAGAACATACGAAATCGGAGGGTTATTAGTACGCAAAACCTCCGAAGTCGGAGTTTTGGCGACGGGCGCAGACACTCCAAAAATGGAGTAACTACATACATGAATATGTTTATTGGGCTCAGAGAAGCCAATAACATATGATTAGATCCAAATTTACCATTTTCAATAGAGAATGTAGAATTATACAAACATATTCAATTTTTGACCATTTTTAAGGCAGCAATCTTGAATTTCAAAATGGCTGCCATTTTAGGATTTCGAAACTTGTCGCATCGAATTCAGTGACATCAATAACATATAGTTAAACACCAGCTTTGCCATTTTTCAATGGATATGAGTATGAGTCGAAATCTGAATTTTGGCAGCCACTTTGAATGGCCGCCAAAAAATGTGTTCCACCCCTTTTCTGGAGGTTTCCCCCGCTCAATTTTTTACTTTTACCCTAGTGATGCTAAATCAGCAGAGAAACCTTGGTTCCCGAAAAATGGTCTTATGAGCCCTGATTTTCACTATACTACAACCTATAAATACGTTTCAGTATTTCATTAAACAATAAACCTAAGTAGTAAAATTCAATTCAGTATTTGAATTCCTTGTTTTGTATGTTTTAGTACCTAATTAGGTAGAATTCGAAATGTATTGTCCTCTAAAAATGACAACAAAATAAAATTTAAAACTATTTTGAAAATAACTTGCTCATTTTGCAATAACATATCCTACAAATTATTAACTTGAGCATAGAAATTATTTAATCTAAAAATTGTATACACACATTTTTATGCTAGATAATAATAATAATGATAATAAAACGTTTTAGGTGAGTGGAAGTGTTTCTGTCATTTTTTCGCTGTCAAATTATGGGTTAACATTTTTAATTACTCATTTTGCAGTTACGTATCCTACAAATTATTAACTTCAGCATAGAAATTATTTAATCTAAAAATTGTATACACGGATTTTTATACTAGATAATAAAAATAATGATAATAAAACACTTTAGGTGAGTGGAAGAGTTTCTTTCATTTTTCGCTGTCAAATTATGGGTTAACATTTTTAATTATACTAATTACTATTTGAGGTTGATAATTTTGATGTTACAGTAATTATGATGAGCAAATTAATTTAAAAAAAAAGATTTTTTATATGATTAAGTTTTTTGCATGGGATATTACATATTTTAAAAAAATAATTATAAAAACAGTATGATAATAGAATATCAAATACATAGATTTACATGGGCCTAGATAGATACACGGAATTTACCACTTTGGCAACATTTACAATGGTAAATCTAGGAATTTGAAATAGGGAGCCAAGTGAGGAATAGGAATTTTTACATGGAGGGTCTGGACCACCTCCGCCCCAACCAAGAACATTTTATTATTCAAGATGGCCAGAAATAGCACCCTCAGACTTAAACTTTGAATATAATTTTCTTTTTTTCTCCAATTTCTGCCCATCTCCCTCCTTGAATCCGCCACTGTTTTACTTACTCTTTTCAATCCTGCAAACGTATCCTTGGTGGTTGTAACATTCGATGTTGTTCCATTTACCGTATGGTCGTAGCACTTCCACGCAGTTTTCGTGTTCACCGTTATAGATAGTACTTGGCACGCCATTGTTCCAGTTAGAGTAATCAATTGGGCTGTTATCTGACCATGCAAATCCACCTATCAAGATAAATAGGGTTAGCATTTAGGAAAATGTGACTTAATCATATTTTTTAATATTATTAGTTCTTCATCTGTATTTAAATTGCTCTCCAGGCTAGTGTATCTAACTAAAACATTATGGCAAAATGAGAATGTAGGCAAAGGTTTTTGGTTTTAAATAAATGTAGGTGAATGCACATGAAAACCACCCCTCCACCGCCATATCATATGCAAATTAGCACAAATATGTAAATTAGGTATAAATCTCTTGATTTCTCTACCCCTGTGATCCCAGTCACCTAGGTTCAAATTGTCACAATAAGACTTTTCTCACGACTAAAATTAACTCCACTCTCTAAGCCTCATAAAGAGACTTAATTATAAAGCATAGTGTACAGTACTTGCCGTTGGATGTGAAGGAAATTAAAAAAAAATTGGTACATGCAAAATAATAAAAGTCGCTGTCATTGTTGTTTTTAAATAAATTAGATTTAGACCATCTTTACATACAGTGATTAAAAGTGTTCTAATCAGAAATGAAGTCAACGTTGCTAACCGGCATCAATTCTGTAAAGGCCGACCCACAAATCTAAACCGGAATCTGTTGCTTTTTTTGAGATGAAATCATTGTCTGCTTTTGTGTGAATGCTAGCAAGATTCGCACCAATTTGTGCACAGCTAAATTGGGCTTCAGGCCATGAGATTGTTGATCCTTTTTCTAGTTCAAAGTAATAACAGTAACTTCCGAATGGTTCCCAGCCTGTTTGGCATGTACCAGGAAGGTCAGGAGGGTTAGTTGGTATTGGTGCTGTAAAGAAAATTGGAAGAATTAGAATACTGCAGTACTGCCTGGTTACCTCACAGTAGACCAAAGAAGATATGCAGGCTTAAAGAAGATCATGTCTTGAAAGTATTATCTGCTAAATCACACAAAAGCACAACTTAAAATAGTTTCCCTGAGAATAAACTAAATCAAGGAAAGGGCCCTCATTTTTTCACTGTTTTCACGAAATGATATAATGTATACTAGGGAGTCAACAGCGTATGTACTTTTACTAAACTATAGAAATGACCTCAACATGGCAATCATTTGTAAACTCCTTAAGACGGAAGCCTCACCTCTTCCCCCAACTGAAGTTTTAAAGCTATATTTCACGTCATCCAAACGTGCCATAGCCATGGCACGTCTGATGTGGCCGTACCCTCCATCTGTAAAAATCCTCCCTATTCTTTTATTTAGAATTTCTGAACCCGCCACTTTGGAGAGCTACCATTCTGTATCAGGGGTTGTAATTGTAGACAAAAAAAATAGCAACAATCTGAAACATGGTTTCAAAATATACTTTTTATCATAATTATGGTACTTACCTAGGGAGTACTTGCACAGTACAGGATGCTGGTCACTGCACTTAGTATCGTCCCAATAACCTTCAGCATTGATCATTACACAACCTTCGCCAGGACCTTTACTTGGTTCATTACGCCCCCATTTAGTATACCACACTGGCCATTTGTTCACCCATTGATACCCGCCGGCAACCTAAATGATTCCAACTGATTATTCGTTTGTGTTTTATTGAATATATTTGCTTTTCTCGAATGGAGGATGCAGCTATGGAATTCATAATTCCCTACTTGATTTTGATATTTTGTTGTTCGATTTTAGTATTCTTCTATATAGTAGGTAAACATATAAACATGCTGAGCTATTTATTCGAATTTCGAATTCGAACATATTTTGAATGGCTATGATGACTTTTTGTTTTGTTTTTTTGTTTTTGTTTTTTGTTTCTTGTTTTTTTTTGTTTTTTTTGTTTTTTTTTTTTTTTGGACGCATGCGGATGTCATTGTGCGTACAGCTATGACTTATTAACATAATAAAATCATTGTACCTTATCATCAGCCATGCCAATCCAGGTTTCTCCTCCTCCGTATCCACCAATTAATTGCTCAATAAACGCTTGTTCGTAAATATCCACAACGTTTGCTATGGAAACATCGTTGCCTATGCTTGAGCACGTATATACAGCCATGCTAAATTCAAAATAACCATCCAAGTATAGGAAACAACCGTCGTAATATTGATTATACCCTTGTCGGCATGATGTGCTTGTAACTGGGGGCTCTGGGGCATTGATATCTGAACAGAAGATACACTATGTATGTTTATGTGACATTCTATTCTAGAAGTCTTGAAGCCGAAAGATAGTATACAAATAATGAATGTTTATGAGTGCAATTGAAAGAATATTTTCATGAGTTGAAAGACTGACTGTTCCAACGAGGTGGATGAAATTTAAATGGAACAGTCAATCTTTTAACAAATAAAAGTATTCTTTCCATTGAACGAATACACAACATCCATTACTCGTTTTATAACACAGGTAAAATAGATTTTTGTGATTTGATACTTTATGAAAAATAAAGTAAGGTCTAACTTTTTTCCAATCGACACAAACAACTTGCAACAATTTGGTAATCAAAAAACATTAATCTTTTAAAAAATTGAGTTTAATTTTGGAACATTATTTGATATGTTATGAACACAAAAACAGTTAAATTCAGAATGGAACAGTCCATCTTCTTTCACAACCAATGGTACCAACGAATGAAACTAAACAATGCACGATGGAACTAAATGTCTATGATGAAGTGACGAAATGATGTAAATAGCAAATGCCATGTGATGCGAAATCCACCAATTAAATGACAAATATCTGTTTAGATGTGTTATAACTACCAATGTTTTGTTTTCAGTAATTTAGAAAATATGGAGTGTCAATATGGAAGTTAAAACGACAAACAAGTGAAGTGAAGCAAAACGAATGTGGCGCAGAATATGCAAAAATCAAGTGGCTCATTACTAATACTAAGTTCTTTGCCGCATTTGTTTTACAGTGCCACATGGTTTTCTATTTTTGGCGTTCTATAATTATAGGACACTGTTTTTTTGTTTTACATTGCTGAATATTCGACAACACTGCAAATAGTTTCATACCAAAAGCATCTTGGCATATATAGCCATTCATTTTACCACACGAATTATCATTCCACAGTCCAGCCTGGTACTCACTCCCAATCAGTTCTACACAATCTTCCTGTAAAGACAAACACAGAAATTTTACTTTACTTTAACCCCATAAGACCTCTAATATTAAAAGTTACATTTTAATTTGTTTTTCTTTTAAATTCTACATCTCTTTGACCAGTGGGGTGATCTATAGCCTCTCGGGGCCCAGTCCAAAGTGGCTTCGAGGAACCCCTCATTATAATATACAATACTCTTCAAGAGCCTATATTATTGTCCAGTAGAAGACACCAAAAACTAGCAAAATATAGTGTAATTTTCTTGTTTTTAAATCACGAAGGTCTTGTGTGAATTCGCATGAGAACATCTCGGTTATTATACTAGGCCTGTATCAATTTCCGACTTTTAAAAGTCAAAAGTATTCCAACAACTGGGGTCCACAAATTGAAATTGTCAAAAATAAGAAAGTAAAAGACTAGGCCTACTAGAATTCTTAAATAATTTCAGTCAAGTAATGTAACATGCTACTGTATTGTCATAATTATTCTACTGTGAATGAGCCCCCAATTTTGTGACTTTTTTTCAGATTTTATCAGACATCTTTAAACAGTAAAACTCATTATATCCTTACCGGATTCAGGCCACATAAAACTCAAGATTATCAAATTTTCTTTGATAAAAAAAACTGTCGTATGCCCATATATATTCATGATGTGCCTATACATGGTCATGATGTGATGCTATCATGACCACACAGTAATTATGCATTTCACATTTTGTCAAATAGAATCTTGTAGTCTAGACAGGGCTTAAGAAGCTCCGATTACCCGTAGGATGACAATTTTATGGCAGTAACTATACGTATGGAATTTCAAAATTGTCTCTACATGTCTTGTATCTTTAAGTAGGCTAATATTATCTTAATTTTTATTTAAACCCAAATGAGAATAGTATAGTAGCTACTTTATGTACTTCAACTAAATCAATTATAAATTAGAGGAATACGCCCACATATTTTTAAGCTGCAAAATTAGACTCAACCTATACTCTATAATTTATATGCAACAATCCGTGACTAAACTGTGTTTATGTGTTTCTCTAGAAATTATATAACTGATTGAAACTCGAGGTGAAACAAGTAAATTGAGATAACTAACCCCTCCACCGGCCTCATTAGGCTCTCCTGCGGCCCAATTGGTATAATCCACAGTCGTTCCATCAGTCCAACGAAATTGCTTGTTGGTTGTAAGATCACTCAGGCCAATCCACATGGGATAATCCAGATCTTTTAGCTTTGTGGTAATAAAAGCTGCAATTATATGAATATATTTTATTTGTCAGCGTTCCAATTATTTTAAAAATGTATGAAGTGTTTAAATTATTATATATGTAATTTGTGTATTTTGTATACCTAAATGACTTATTAGTGGGGCGATTTGCAGCAGTTTCAACTCTTCAGTGGACCAGTCTTTCAAGAAGCTGAGTATGATGTCCATATTATGCATTTTGTTTCTGTAGCCGAGGCCAGCGGTTGGCGTAGCGGTTGCGTTTCGGTCTTTTAACATCGAGGTCAGGGGTTCCAAACTTCGATGTGCATTTCGCTTGTGTCCTTGGCACTTTACTACCTAAGCTTATCGCCCTCCACCCAGGAGTATAAATGGGTGCCTTTTTGAAATATACCGGAGAAGTTAAAAAGGCAGCGTGGAATGTAACTGGCCACATAACATCGATGGGCTAACAGCTCATTCCCCTACACTCAGTAATAAATACAGGACCACCTTTACTTTTTTTAGCTGGGGTAAAAATGCAAAGCGCTAGGGACCTAATATTAAATCAAGCTGATTAGGCCTATGTCTAATTTTATGATCTATTTTTTATAATGACAGTATTGCAATGGACATGGTCAAAGTCTCGAATACAATACTATTAACTGTTATGATCTAACGATCTATAATGTAGGCCCTATACCATTAACATGCTGGTCATGTATAGTGACAAGATCTCCCCCGATGTTGCGACACATATCTCTTGCGTCCCTCCAACCAAAGCGATCAACTTCGATAGATCCTTGGAACTGATAACATCGCTTGTTAAACTTAGTCCAGCCCGAAGGACAGTTGCCTTGCGGCAAAGCAGTTGTTATTGGAGCGTCGGTGATTATGCTTCCATACGGCTTCTTGCAAATGAATGGAATCTTGTCACCACAGTTCAGATCATTCCAACGACCAACTGTGAACGAGAAAAGAAATATACATTATTATTATAATTAAGATATTATTAATTTTATTTTTATTTCGTTTCTTCAATATGCTGTGTGTGTGTGTAGGGGTGTGGGTGTGTGCGTGTGTGTATATGTATGTATATATATTCGAACATGACACCTCTCGCCAAGGCGAGTATCATGCCCATATTATATATCATACAACTGACTGTTTCATTGGTGAAACATGACGTGATTTCCGTACAAGGATCAAGGAACAGAAAGGCTATGCTTGGAGGGCGATAAAACAGTCTACCAGTCGATCGCTTTCTAGCCACGCCCACCCTTTTTTGCACAGGCTGTGAATTCTGGCTTTTGTATTAGCCTTTTCGCACGTAGTCTCAGTTATTGTTTTCCACCAATCAGCAGCAAGTCTCACTACCCACTTCACTTCCCGACGATGAATCGCGTCGGAGCGTCGCTGTCTGAGCTTTTAAACAACTAAATCACACCAATTTTACTTATACAATGGTGAAATATAGTTTGTTGAAGTATTAAATTATATAGATTGGTTGAATTGCACCTTAGTCAAGACGTATTGATGACGTCCTACACTCCTTCCGGTTGTAGGACCCAGCAATTTGTTGATAAATATCTCCGTTAGAACTTTAAAAAACGATAAAATGTCATCTACTATACAATAAAAGAAAACTGATAATGCTTTGACCTCAACCACGTCAGCACTGGTTTCAAAGCATCCTAAAATGTCAAAAATTTGTCAATGGATGGTAAAGTGTTTTTTTCAAGACGGCGTTCCAACCAGTACCAGTACTGTTGAGTAATTAACAGAAAGTATTGGCCTATTTACGACTCCTTCGTAAATAATCCATTACATACATGAGGTATAAAGCTCGACACACTGTTCCTCTCCATTGAAGTCATTTGGCTCACCAGGTGCCCAGTTGACATAATCAAATGGTGTAGAATCTGACCACCTGAATTAAAAAAAACAACTTATGAATACATTTAGTTGAACATATTCAAAGTTTTCAAATTTATTCTGTAGAATCCATACTGTTGTTCTCTATCCTATCTGTACCGTATTTTATATGGTGTCTATTAATAATTAGACTTACGTGTAGACACTTCTGATATCGTATTCTCTTAAACCGATCCAGTAAGAGCTAATGTCAGAGTCAGTCTAAAAATAGTAATCATATATGTAATATGTAAGTATTATAATGTAAGTAATGCTGTATTTAAATTAAAAAGAAATTGAATTCCCAAAGCGTTAACTACCCTGTTCGTAAAACAAATAAATAAAAAGTTGGCCTATATCTGAAAATGTTTAAAAATTTACCATAAAAATGAATATGTTTCCTAGTTGTAAAGTATGTCGCATAAAAAAGTTAAATTTATCACATTTTTTATAATTATATAATTTTTTGTTGCATTTGTGCTTCATTTTTTTATATGCAATTTGTATTTATTTTGAAAACTACCTATTTTTGACTGCCTTTCAAAACAGTAAGGCGGCTGATTAATCGATTGATCCAATTGTATCAATGTCGATACTGATCGATCAATATCGATAGACTTGCGAGTTGGTTGCTTACTTGGTAGGATAATCAATCACTATTTGATCAATTGATTACAATTCCCAGTAACTTACATTATCGTTAATGAAATCCATCTCCGGCTTATTATGAATAGAAGCGAGTTTAGCATTGTGTACATGGCAGTAGTCATCAGCTTCCTTCCACGATAAGCGACTACTTCCAGAAGCCTTACTAAAGTAGTAGCAATACTTATCGTATTGAATCCATCCATCGCTACCGGAACACAGTGGATCTGTAAATTTTTAATGCCATTAATAAGGGATATCGTACATGTAAAGCACACAGAAACCATTGCAATAATGCGCTCAGACTGATATAAACTGTCAATTATAGGGATAATAAGAAACATTTTGTTAATAATACACCTTTAGATGTGTAATTTTTGCTTGCTTTTTACTTCTAAACCCTTTGAAATTTCACTACCAATTGTGGTATTCTTAGCAGAGTCGGTGTTCTTGTACCTATATTGTATATAAAAATGGGGATTGAGTACGGCGAGCTTCCTCATTGACCGACGCTGTGCATTTTAAACTACCACCATACCTTGGTGGTCACTCGACATTGAACTCTATACTACTGTACTACTATTGGAGTGTTTTGAATGGGCAACCAATCCATACCTTTTTCCGGATCGTCACCAAAATTTATTAATTTCTTCATTCAACCATAACCAACTATTCTAGATAGTTTCATTTAGATCCCTTGATAACTTATTTGATGTATTTAGATCTGGGACGTTAGAACTTTAAAAGACCCTCACATTCAAACCCGATTCTGGATCGTCACCAAAATTTAATAATTTCTTCCTTGTAATTTGGTTAAGACTTCCCTAAGAAATGTATACATTTAGTGGAAGAGTTTTTGTTATGATCTGGTACGTTTTCATTGACTGGTCCTCATATTCATAGCCGACTCCGGATCTTCACCACAATTTAGACATTTCTTCACGGGTCCATGACAAACTATTCTTGAAAGTTTCATTTAGATTCATTGATACGTTTTATTTTTTTAAGATAGGTCTGCGACGTTATTATTTTAAATGACTGCAAATTCATACCCGAATGCTGATCATCACTAATAATTTCTTCATTGTAAATTGGTTAAACTTCCCAGAAAGTTTCATTCAGACCAGTTAGTCAGTTTTTAAAATACCTGGTCTGGGTTGTTTTCCTTTGAATGGTACTCATATCCACACCGTACTCCGGATCGGCACCAAAATGTAATAATTTCTGCATTTGAACACGGCAAAATACTATAGAAAGTTTCATTTAGATAAATTGATAGGTTTTTTTTAGATATGTAGGTCTGGGACGTTAGAAATTTAAATGACCTTCGAATTTACACCATGAATTGAATCGTCACCAAAAATAATAAGCCCTTCTTCGTACCTTCCAAAAGTTTCATTCAGATTGGTCCGTTTTTGAAATATCTGGTGTGGGGTGTTTACCTTTAAATCACTTTACCGTAAATTCACATATAATCGCCGCGGCGCTTATAACACTTTTGGAGGCTTCAATGCGGCGCTTATTTCAGAGCGGCGCTTATTCGAGAGTGGCGCTTATAAAAACAAATTGGCGAGGTGCTTTCCATGCTCGTTCCCATGTTACCTATTTCACGTATTCCCGTAGTCTATCATAGGTCTTATCATCATAAATAACGTTTATAATGAAATGCTTGTCTTCATTGTATTATTTGTTCATTTTAACACTGTCATTGTATTTACAACCCTGTTTCTCAAAGTGTTTTTACACACAGCGTAATACAATTTAACTCTCGATTAAGCACCGAGGCGCTTATTCGAGAGCGGCGCTTAACAAAAAAAAATCACTATTGGTGCGGACACTTTTTTAAGTCCTTCATAGGCGTTCTATTGTATGAGCTAAAAATGCACTGGCCTACGGAAGGTCGGCTCATGTAGCACTATTGCAGCTATATTTCGTCGCGTTAGTTTCCATGTATATTTATTACCTCGTTATTATTATTATTAATACTGGGAAAAGCCATTGTTTTTGTTCTGATTTTTTTTCCCCTTTTTTTCTTTCATATATTTTTCCTATCTTTTTGCACTGTTTTTTCTGGCCGTCACTTTGGTCACGTCCCATGCTTAGAATTTTTCTGTGCTTTGCCGAAGCATAATCCTAGGCCATATATCAAGGATGTGCCTCCTAATATTTAGTGTCAATCTATGG